AAAAATTATTGAATTCATTATTACAATATTCTCTGCCATTATCTGTCTGCAAAGCTTTAATCTTGTGTCCAGTTTTGTTTTCTACATACATTTTATATTGTTTAAATGCACTCAGTACTTCGGATTTACACTTTATGAAATATACTTCACACCAACGCGATGCATCATCAATAAACGTTACAAAATATTTCATACCTGAGAATGAAGGAGCTCTCATTGGCCCACATACATCACTGTGTATAATTTCTAATAAATTCTTCGTACGAATCTCCTTCGATTTTGGAAAGGGTAGTCTCGTTTGTTTTTCACTAACACAGATTTCACAATTTGTTAACCTTTTATTAATATTTACATTTAAACCGTGCACTCTTTTATTTTTAATCATTGCTTTAATGTCATATTCATTCAAGTGCCCTAACTTTTTGTGCCACACATCAATACTCTTTGTATTTTCACTCACACTTTTCGCTGCATTCACTTTTTCATTAATATAATATAAATCACCTCGACGACGTGCTTTCAATTCAACCTTGCCTTCTTTAGTTAGAAATGCACTCTTTCGGGTAAAAATCACTTTATATCCATTATCAGTGGCTTTAGATACTGATAATAAATTAATTCGTAAGTCCGGAACATATAACACATTTTCTAATCTCACGTGTTTATCTTTATTTTGTTCAAACGTGGTCTGAATATCTCCAATTCCTTTAATAACAGTACAGTCGTTATTAGCCAGTTTCAATTCCGCATTTGATCGATTAAGGTTTTCAAAATTATTCTTTTGATGACACATATGGCTTGTACACCCGCTATCTAAGCACCAAATATTGTCTGGTAATGATGATTGTTCATTAAAGCCAAACAACACGCTTTGTTCACTACTATATGTTGTTGACTGCTTACCGGCTGGATACCTCGATCGGCAGTCTCGAGCAAAATGTCCTCCTTTTTCGCATCTATGACACTTTATTTGCCGACGTGATTCAAATTTGGTTACGCAATCACGTGCAAAATGTCCGACTTTTTTGCATTTATGGCATATACTTCTTCGATAGGCAGCATTCGATTTATGATCTGATGGCTCCTTATTTATTCTTTCCGAATAAAGTATCCCTTGTGAATGTTTATTTTCCTCATCTAGTTTGTTGCCTTGGATTCTGTCAAACAATCTAACCTTTAAAACTTCCAGTGTTGGCAACTTCTCCTGTGCTTCTATGGATTCTTTAAACATTGCGAATGATTCAGGGAGACTGTGCATTAGTAACGTTACCAGCATTTCGTCTGGGACTACAATGCCGATATCGTTGAGTTTCGCAGCAGTTTCACAAAAATCTGTCACATGTTTTGCCAAATCATCGCCTTCATGCATCTTTAATGTTACGCATTTTTTCATGAGAGTTGTTCGCCTCGTTGCACCCCGACTTTCGAATAGTTCCTGCAATTTGTCCCATATCGCTTTCGCGGAACCGAGACGCGCGCACATTTTTAATTCTTTTCCTCTCATGTGTAGTACCAAATCAGATTGCGCTTTTCCGTCATTTATAACCCATTCCGCATATTTTTCGGCGGTCAATGGTTTCGCTATTTCGCCGCTTACATATCCCCATAAGTCATTCTTCTTCAGAATGGCTGTTAAATGAATTTTCCATTCATCATAGTTCTCCTCGCACAATGGTTCGATTTTGATTGAAGACGTCATCTTTTTGTAAATAACACTACACTTTAAAATCTATACTTCGAAAACACTCACTGTTTACGACAGGATCCCGTTACTCGTTATCAGTCGATGGATTCTCGAACTCGCTCAGTACGCTGGGCTTCTACCTGGACTTGTACCTGGGATTCTACCTGGGATTTCACCTGGGCCCATAACCAATGTTAATGGTAAAATAAAATTTATTACTTTGATAATATTTACATAACAGTATTCTATTTATACAATAATACAAGGTATATTATTCCTTTGGGCAGGCAGTCGAAATAGAATGATTTTGTTGAAACTTCTTTCTTTTATACCATGATGGAGATACCCCCTCTTTCACTCCTAGATAGATATCCTCATCAGGTCCGCATTCTATATATAATTTTGTATTCTAACAGAGTCAAAAAAAATTTCGGTCAAAAAAATTTTTGGTCAAAAAAATGTTGGTCAAAAAAATTTTTGGAAAAAAAATTATGGCCCAAAAAATTTTCGGAAAAAAATTTTTTGCCAAAAAAATTTTTGGTCAAAAAAATTTTGGGCCAAATTTGGCCCAAAAAATTTTTGGAAAAAAATTTTGGCCCAAAAAATTTTAGTCAAAAAAATTTTTGGTCAAAAAAATTTTAGCCAAAAAAATTTTGGCGCAAAAAATTTTCGTTAAAAAAAAATTGGCCCAAAAAATTTTCGGAAAAAAATTTTGGCCCAAAAAATTTTAGTCAAAAAAATGTTCGGTCAAAAAAATTTTGGCCAAAAAAATTTTGGCGCAAAAAATTTTCGGAAAAAAATTTTGGCCCAAAAAATTTTAGGAAAAAAATTTTAGTCGAAAAAATTGTGGCCCAAAAAATTTTCGGTAAGAAATTTTTGTCAAAAAAATTTTGGTCAAAAAAATTTTTGGTCAAAAAAAATTTTGGTCAAAAAAATTTTTGGAAAAAAAATTTTGACCCAAAAAAAATTTGACCCAAAAAAATTTGGTCAAAAATATTTGGTCAAAAAAATTTTGGCATAAAAAATTTTGGCCCAAAAAAAATTTTGACCCAAAAAATTTTGGCCCAAAAAAAAATTTTGACCCAAAAAATTTTGGCCCAAAAAAATTTTGACCCAAAAACATTTGGTCAAAAAAATTTTGGCCCAAAAAAATTTGGTAAAAAAAATTTTGACCCAAAAATTTTTGGCCCAAAAAAATTTTGACCCAAAAAAAAATTTTTGGTCAAAAAAAATTTTAACCCAACAAATTTTGGCACAAAAAAATTTTGACCCAAAAAATTTTGACCCAAAAAAATTTTGACCCAAAAAATTTTGGCCCAAAAAATTTTGGCCCAAAAAATTTTGATCCAAAAAAATTTTGACCCAAAAAATTTTAATCAAAAAAATTTTGGCCCAAAAAAATTTTGACTCAAAAAAATTTTGGCCCAAAAAAAAATTTTGACCCAAAAAATTCTGACCCAAAAAAATTTTGACCTCGGAATGTCGGAGTATCGGAATGTCGGAGCATAGGAATGTAGGAGTATCGGAAGGTCGTTGTCAAACAAAATTTCGGTCAAAAAAATTTTTGGTCAAAAAAATGTTGGTCAAAAAAATTTTTGTAAAAAAATTTTTGTAAAAAAATTTTTGTCAAAAAAAATTTTTGGTCAAAAAAAATTTTGGAAAAAAATTTTGGTCAAAAAAATTTTTGGACAAAAAAATTTTAGTCAAGAAAGTTTTGGAAAAAAAAATTTTGGTCAAAAAAAATTTGGCCAAAAAAATTTTGCACAAAAAAATAATAAATAATTGTACTAAATCTGCTTACGTAATACTTGAACGATCCCTAATGTAAAAAATTAGAAATCATTTGGACTAATTACATTCAATAATTTCATATATACACATCAACCCCTGTCCTTGACCACGTCATTGAGATCCATACGAGTGTCCTCGACCATATCATTGAGATCAGCGCAAAATCTCAGAAATTCCCATAGAAAAAACGGGAATTTTACAAAAAGGATCAATTACTATAAATAATTGACAACTATATATATAAATTTATGTATAAACAAAAATGTCAATACACATGAAATAGTTGTGCCAATAGCCTGAAAAGGAATTTGATGAACTTATATTGAGGAAACAGAAATAGAAGATTACACTGGTTTAATTAATTTATTATAAAATAGCTGATAACTGATACTTTCTATGTAGTAAATTAAAATATATTCAATATTTCTTGCTTCGATTCCAAAATGTGAGTGAGCGTCCTTGTATACATCGTCTTGTAGATAAGAAACTCGTCCACTGTATTTCATATTTAACAACGATATGGATCTGACTAACATTCTTTAATCAAACATTTCTTTAATCAAACTGTAACAATTGTATATTAATTAATATTATTATTGTATCCCTATTTGAAATAAATAATTAGGTACGGTGCAATTAATTACTCATCATTAGTAGCTACAAAGTGTAAGTAAATATTATTGTTATTCATATTGATTTAATTGAAAATTCCATGCAAGCAACGGTAACTATGGATTTGTCAAAAAAATTTAGTGCAAAAAAATTTTAGAAAAAAAAAAATTTTGGTCAAAAAAATTTTGGGAAAAAAAATTGGGCCAAAAAATTTTTGGTCGAAAAATTTTTTGGAAAGAAAATCTGAGTAAAAAAAATTTGGGCATAAAAATTTTTGATCAATAAAAATTTGGTCAAAAAAATTTGGTTAAAAATTTTGGGCAAAAAATTTTTGGTCAAAAAAATGTTGGTCAAAAAAATTTTTGTAAAAAAATTTTTGTAAAAAAATTTTTGTCAAAAAAAATTTTTGGTCAAAAAAAATTTTGGAAAAAAATTTTGGTCAAAAAAATTTTTGGACAAAAAAATTTTAGTCAAGAAAGTTTTGGAAAAAAAAATTTTGGTCAAAAAAAATTTGGCCAAAAAAATTTTGCACAAAAAAATAATAAATAATTGTACTAAATCTGCTTACGTAATACTTGAACGATCCCTAATGTAAAAAATTAGAAATCATTTGGACTAATTACATTCAATAATTTCATATATACACATCAACCCCTGTCCTTGACCACGTCATTGAGATCCATACGAGTGTCCTCGACCATATCATTGAGATCAGCACAAAATCTCAGAAATTCCCATAGAAAAAACGGGAATTTTACAAAAAGGATCAATTACTATAAATAATTGACAACTATATATATAAATTTATGTATAAACAAAAATGTCAATACACATGAAATAGTTGTGCCAATAGCCTGAAAAGGAATTTGATGAACTTATATTGAGGAAACAGAAATAGAATATTACACTGGTTTAATTAATTTATTATAAAATAGCTGATAACTGATACTTTCTATGTAGTAAATTAAAATATATTCAATATTTTTTGCTTCGATTCCAAAATGTGAGTGAGCGTCCTTGTATACATCGTCTTGTAGATAAGAAACTCGTCCACTGTATTTCATATTTAACTACGATATGGATCTGACTAACATTCTTCAATCAAACATTTCTTTAATCAAACTGTAACAATTGTATATTAATTAATATTATTATTGTATCCCTATTTGAAATAAATAATTAGGTACGGTGCAATTAATTACTCATCATTAGTAGCTACAAAGTGTAAGTAAATATTATTGTTATTCATATTGATTTAATTGAAAATTCCATGCAAGCAACGGTAACTATGGATTTGTCAAAAAAATTTAGTGCAAAAAAATTTTAGAAAAAAAAAAATTTTGGTCAAAAAAATTTTGGGAAAAAAAATTGGGCCAAAAAATTTTTGGTCGAAAAATTTTTTGGAAAGAAAATCTGAGTAAAAAAAATTTGGGCAAAAAAATTTTTGATCAATAAAAATTTGGTCAAAAAAATTTGGTTAAAAATTTTGGGCAAAAAATTTTGTCAAAAAAAATTTGGGCAAAAAAATTTTGGTCCAAATTTTTTTGGTCAAAAAGATTTTGAGCAAAAAACTTTGTCAAAAAAAAATTTGGGCAAAAAAATTTTGGACAAAAAAATAAGGAAAAAAAATTTTTGGACAAAAAATTTTGGTCAATAGCGCAAATCTGAGAATAGAGACGCAAATATTTTACAGGACTTATATAAACATCATTAATAATTAATCACCGAAGTTTTAAACCCGCAAAGGCACATGAATTCTATATTTAAGAGAGTGTGCTATTGAAAAATGCATACGAATGAATTATGGGATGCGACATCTGTCACATATGTAGTAAATTTTCAGCAATAAGATGCAGTTTAAACAAGTCTATATATTCTATATATATATATATATATATATATATATATAATATATATATATATATAAAGCGAGAGGTTTTTCTTCAGATGGTGAAATAATATAATAAAATTGTTTCTTGGGCATCCATCCAGTAATTAAAAAACAGTTTTAATGAAAAATGTTTTTATTTATAGAGAACATACGTTTCGGGTCTGGATTTGACCCATCTTCAGTGCATACAAATAAACTTTGCAAAACAACACAAAAACACAAAATTGCATGAAAAATAAATAAAAGTGAAATAAAAAATTGATGAAACGTCGAGTTATGAAAAATTTTAAAAAAATTGTAAAATTAAAATGAATGATATACTTTATTATAAAAAAGCTTATTCCAAACGAACATGTTGTTAGTTTGGAAGTTGTATTACGAGTCACATATTTTTCGTAACTCGACGTTTCATCAATTTTTTATTTCACTTTTATTTATTTTTCGTGCAATTTTGTGTTTTTGTGTTGTTTTTCAAAGTTTATTTGTATGCACTGAAGATGGGTCAAATCCAGACCCGAAACGTATGTTCTCTATAAATAAAAACATTTTTCATTAAAACTGTTTTTTAATTACTGGATGGATGCCCAAGAAACAATTTTATTATATATATATATATATATATATATATATATCCATATTGTTGTACATGGAAATTTATTTACAGAAATGTCACACTTTCTCTGGTATTTCAATTTCCCAATCTACATATTGACCCATCCTTAACCATTTGCAAATCAACTTTAGGCCCAACTAAATCTCTAATATTATTTATTCCATATTTAATCATTGTTGGTCTTTCCAGTGACAGTCCCCAAGCAATTACATTTACATCTTCTGGCAAGCCCATTGGTAATAGCATTTCAGGACGAAAAATTCCAGAATTTCCAACCTATAATAACATAACTTCAATTTTAGTTCAATTTTACTTTGAAAGCTTAGTTCACTCCAACAAATTATAAAAAATCTGCAAGCAAATGTATAGTCATAGTCATTTTTATTATAATAATACCTCAATCCATTTTGCAAGTCCTGGATGATAACAAAAAATTTCCATACTAGGTTCAGTGTAAGGATTATATGCTGGTTTAAATTCTAATTGTGTTATTCCCAATTTTTTGAAAAATTCATATAAAACTCCAATTAGGTCACCAAGAGCTAATCCTCTATCGGCTACTACACCTTCAACTTGATGAAATTCAGCTAGATGAGTTGCATCAAGTGTTTCATTACGGAAAACCTATAAAAGATATATATATATATATATATATATATATATATGCGTGTGTGTGTGTGTGTATCTTTATATAATAATATAATACATATAATATCTCTTATACATAATGCACTATTTAGGGATTTAAAATTTTACAAACAATAACATGCATGATGTTCTAGTCCATATTTTAGTGATTAATTACAAATTCATTACACTGATGATGAGAAAAACCGAATCTTGAAACGTTTGTAAAATTTAGAGTCTAGCGTGTTCATATTCCATAGTAAATTAACTTTTCGTAGAGTAAGTCATAATCAAGTTATAATCAATCAAAAATCTAAATTTAAAATTTTTGCATATCTTTATGTTTCAGACGTTTCTGAACAATTTGGCATACCTTAGAGAAAATGGTTGTGTATGTGTATAAACACATTTTTTCGTCTACGATTTTGAACCCACAGATTAACCGATTTGAATAATTCAAAAAAACATGAGGTTTCCTACTGATGGAGAAACGTGCTGATTAGTTTTTGACAAAGACAGGTCCAGCCATTTCGGAGATACAGCGCAAAGAGTGCAGAAAATAGAAATCGGCACGAAGCAATTTTCATAAATATATTTTTTTTTTTTTTCCAAAAACATTATATATATATATATATATATATATATATATATATATATATATATATATACATACATATATATGCATACAGAATACTGAATACTTTATATGTGTTTCACTTTTAGCCACAAAGATTGAATGTTATTGGGTAAATAGAAAATTTTATTTAACCCATTTAATCTGTATTACTTAATATATTTATCTTAATTATGAAAATATAATAGTATGTTTTGGATTTTTTAAACGTAACCCTTCTTTTTATACAAGTTCTTACATTCATATAACACAAATTCAATAGTTATTTGGAACGTAACTCCTATGTTCCATTGTTATTATTCCATATTCATATTTAATTTTTACAGAATAATAAATAATGCTCAAATTTCATAAAGATTGAATTTGATTTCGAAAGAACGAGTATTAAGATATGAATATGTAATAATCGAATAAATTTTAAATAACCTATAAAATTTTATTTAAGATATCTTGTGTACAACAGAAAAATCTTTAATAATTTATATAAATATTAGAATATACTTACTCTATCAATGCTAAAATATTTTACTGGTTTGAAACCATCAGGATTCTGTGCTAAATTATACAGCATTCTTGCACTAACAGCAGTTGTATGTGTGCGCAACAGATTCTTTCTTGCTTCATCTATCTTCCAATCATAACCATAGCCCTAAAGTTTCAATTAGTATATTTAAATAATCACATTTTATTTAATCTAAAATACATTTTTTTACCTGAGAACCATAGCCACCTTTGCTATGAACTTGTTTTACTCTATTCAAATACTCTTCAGGAAAATTTGAAGTTAAAGCAGGATCTGATATGAAAAATGTGTCATGAGCGTCTCTTGCGGGATGCTGCTGAGGTTGAAATAAAGAATCAAAATTCCAAAATGAGCTTTCTATATAGTTATTAGTAGGCATTTCAGAAAATCCCATCTCTAAAAATATTTGTCGAAATTCACTTCTCACTTTTAGCAAAGGGTGTAAATGACCTGAATCAGGAGAGTATCCTAGAAAAAACAGAAAAATTAAATATATAGTTGAAATTACAATCATTTTTAAAACATTATTTCTAACTAAGAATATTAACTATATTTGATAATACAAAACCTATTTTTTAGATTAAATGATCATTCATTTGTAATAACAAAATCTTCCAATTTTGATAATTTGTTTAAAATTTAAATGTCTTAAGATTTTACTGCATAAACTACAAATATGAGTTTAAATTAGATAGTAAACAGATATAATAAAATATTAAGTGCAAATATTCAAGTGCTTTAATTCATTATATCCTATTATGTTGACCAAGTAAGTGCAATTTTATTTAGTTATTTTGGTTTCTACGATTATGTGATTCTGCTAGTATTTTTGAAAATTGGTTTATTAAAATGTACTTCACCTACGATAAGCTAATACATACTTATATACGATAACCAAAACAAATAAGCTATTACATACAATATTAACATATTTTAATACCTAAAGCATTAAAATTGTATGGTTTGAACTTCAATTTCTTCCATAGATCTCCTGCCATCATATCCACCATTAAATCGGTTTCTAATTTGCTTAAGGTAGTACTAAAATCATCTCCTTTTGATAAATCAAAGCTCTTGATTAATATTTCTTGTATTAATTTTCGCTTCTTGTATTCAGCTTTCATATTTGCCGGTACATTATTACCATCAAAATTTCCATTTAAAATCATCTGTAAATGCTGCTGAGTGACATCAATGATATTTTGAACCTTTTGTTTAACAACTGGTGTACTGCCAGATTTGTCAATTGCTATCCATCCTAATGCCATGGCTTTGCTAAAGCCGATTTTAGCATTTGGTAACTAGAAATAAAATATTTAAATTGAATCTGAATTATTTATGATCAAATGAAGAGCCGATTAGAAAAATTGAAAAAGAATTCGATTTAATGACTTCGAAAGCTTACAAAAAATCAGCTCCTGTAGCATGAGAACCTTTTTAAGAAATACTACTAACTTCATTAAATCAAATTGGTTTATACCTGATGAAGGTATGTAAAAACAACTAAATATTCGGTTCTACTGTAATTTGATTTATTGACTTTGTAGGACTAACAAAGAAGCGGTCCTTTGTAGTTTAGGAACCTTTCTTAGAAATATTATTACCTTCATTAAGTCAGGTTGATTTATCCCTGCTGAAGGTATAGATTTGAAAATACTAGCTTCATGGCTACCATGCTTGGCAATCATTTTCCCTTCCTCGGTGAGCTCCCATGATTTTGTCGTCACAGGCTTAGAAGTCAGAACATTACCGGTTGCTTCTATGCTTTTTAGAGCTCCTATAATTTTTTGATGATCCACCTCAAATATTGACACTAAATCTAAAGTATTGACATTTTCGTGTTCGTTAACGTGGTTGAGTATTTTTTCTATTAAATCTGCCATGACGAAATAAATAAAAAAAACTTATGTCAGAAAAACTTGTGAGTTTGAATTGAAAGATGTGTGTAAAATTCCGAAGAAAGAAGTACGGACAGCGTTTTTTTTTATTATATAAAATATGTATAAATCAGTATTGACAGATAACCTATAATTCAATATCTGACATTTTCGATATTTCGCAATGTGACTACACGTTGAAGAAATAAAGATCAAGTTGTGAGGTTTGAGTTCTAGATAGTAGTAACAGAAAATATCACCATAGATAAATAAACATAAAGATAAAAGAATTGTATAAACTCAAACCATTTGAATATCACATTCAAATGGTTTGAGTTTAAGATAATTAAATTTACAAAAACGAACGTTGAACGAGCGTACACATACACGTTATGCTTATTTAACTATGAGCGTACATATATCCATTTATCCATGAACACGGGGTATTATAATATTGGCTAAGCATATATAATAGACAATGTTAGAATATGGTATATTTATATATCATATTCTGTATAATTTAATGTATATTATGTACAATATATGTATATTCTGTATAATATAATGCTTATTTATCTATGTATAATCCTAGACAATATTAGAATATGATGTTTTCATATATAATTGTAACGCATGCATACGACAAACATTTTATAAAAATCAGGAGCTAACTGGTTGTAAGTCCCAAACAAATAGGAAACAAACTAAACGTCCTATCGAAACGAGACTAAAATTCAGGATTATATTCTATTCTAGTTGAACCTAAAAAAAAACTTTTAAAAAGCTATTATTAACCCACATTTTAAACAATATAAAGTGAAATTTTGTATAAAAAAACACGATTTTTTTTTTTCAAGTTGCGAAAAATTTATGAATGCTCATTTTTTACTAGATGTTTTGGGTTCAACTAGAATCTAACTATTGAAAATATATATTTGCTTTGATTTTTTTTGTTTCGGATGGAATTTGTGACCTAAATTTTTCCCGCCAAATGAAACCAAGGCGCATGAAAAAATGTGAGAAGAATGTTGAAAATGTGTTGAAATATATAGCAATAAAACCTGAAAGTTTCGTTTCAATTAAAAATGTATTTTCTTCCTTAAAAATTCCTCAAATAAAGTGATTTGTTGAAGTCTCTAAAGAAGGCTCTCCCCTTAAGGCAAATTGCAAGAACTTTTCGATACCTGTAAATATACTCTTTTATCCATATGTAAATCCTAGGCATAATAATATCTTTAATCCACTTAATTATTATGTAAATAATGAACTTAATCAAGAAGGATTGTGATTTAGCTTTTTAGATAAAAAATGTCAACGTTTTCGCTTTCACTAAGAATTCTTACTACTAATAATACTAATAATACTAATACTAATCAATCATATATTCATATTCTATTTAATATTTCAAATGCAGAAAAACTTATAATTTCCGTAATTTTATTAATTAAATCTAATTTATTGAATATTTTGTTCTACTTGATATTCTAAAAACATCATCTCTCATCTGCAACTGTAATCATATCAGTAAAACACAACAATGCATGGCGTATTAATAAATTTATTTAATAAAATTGTATGTAAGTATGAATAAAGCATATATGATTACAGTTGCAGATGAGAGATAGTGTTTTTAGAATACCAAGTAGAATAAAATGTTCAATAAATTAAATTTAATTAATAAAATTTTATGTAAGTATGAATTAATTCATACGCCATTGTTGTGTTTATCTGATGATTACAGTTGCAGATAAAATGTTCAATAAATTAAATTTAATTAATAAAATTGCGGAAATTATAATTTTTTTCTTATCTATTGTTTTAATTCAACAACTTATCGTAGACCCATAATATCTTGCTATATTTATTTAGGCCATGAAATCTATTGTCATACAAGTTTCATTAAAATCATAAAAAAAAAAATGTTACAAGAAAAGGCCCGGCCGATTTTTACCAAAATCTGATCAGCTGATAATAAATAGGCTGATTTCCAACTATTATTTTTCGTAGGGTTTCTAAATTTACTCAATCAAATGTGGATGTTTTGAAAAACGTTGACGAATAACTATTTGCATACTTTTCTGCAAAATCTAAAGAAACGGCACGGCCGATTGCCTCGCAAAACTAATCAACACTAGTCTTGATCAAGTTTCAAATGGCTTTGACGTTTTTGAAATTCGTTCATCAGTTTTTTAAAAAAATAACAAAAAGTCAAATGTTGACTTTCTCAGATTCTCAGGATTCCAAATTGGAATGTGCCATCATTGAATTTTCAAATTAATTTAATAACTCCAATTAGCAATTTATATTAGTTTCATTTTCGTTATCAGTATTCAACTGCTTTAGTTGAAACAATCGTTTTGTATTCCAATTGCCTATTTGTTTCCTATTTTCCCAGATTTACATGATTCCAAATTGGAATGTGCCATTATTAAATTTCCTAATTGTTTCATCTAAAGCAGTTGAACACTGGTAACGAATTGCTGTTTTCCATCTAGCCAGATCCCAAATTGAAATTTACAATTAATTACTCTAACATTTCTGCAAGATTCCATTTTATTTTTCTATCTATTTTAGCTTTTGAAATATCACAAAAAGAAGATATGCATTTTGTGTTATTGAAGATGCAGGTTTAGATAGTACAGGAAAAGGTTGAAACATAAAATTGAAATTATTCCGTTGCTTGTTCAACTAGAGCTATACTTTATAATATAAAGAAAATATAAACTAATTTATGAGACATTGATCCTGATTGTTATTGCAACTCCTAATAAATTTATCTTCATAGGGAAACACTTGCACTTGCACAAATTGTTCCATACAGCAATAAAATAATTCCTCTTAATATAATAATTCCTCTAGAAGCAACAAGAAGATAAATAATATTAGTTAATTTATTTTAAAAAATATTATACAATCTGTCTATAAATAATCATCAAGAAAACATCTTAAAACTATATTACGTAAAAGAAATGAACATTATAGTCATGAACCATTCAAGAGCACAAAGACATGTTTAAATATATTTATCTATAAAATAAAACACTTGAGTCATAAATTTTGTCAACATGTTTTGATAAATCACTTGCATCCACTATTGAGAGATAGCAGCAGACGTTCGAGACTACACCTGTATCATCACAGAAGAAATATTTAAGTTAATTACATGCTATTGAAATTATAATAGACATACTTAATTAATCATGTTCTAAATTATATTTTATATATACTGCCGCATATATTTCACAACAATTTTAATCTAAAAATTTAGTTATAAACTTAAAAATAGCAGAACAATGTATATATGATAATAGTGAAACACATAAAATGTAATTATATTCATGTTCTATAGATTTTGAACATTAATAACAATATACACCAAACATAGTATCTACCCTAGTAAAATAGCATAAATTAAAAATCAACTACTAAATGCTCATCAAAACAATGTTGTTAGGTATTAAAAGAAGTGAAGGAATGCATGAATTTTACTCGAAATTCATAAACTATCTATTCATTTCAATTAAGCTTCATCCTTATGCTGTTTTACAAGAGTAGAATTAAGTTGTTTTGCAGTACATTTGTACATTTCATGTAACTATTAAACAATATATTTTCTTTATCCTCGGGAGTCTGTCATACAATCCCCAAGAATCTTTAGTAAGGTTTGGTAAAATAGAACAGCGAATCAGATTCTAATATAGAATACATTAAATATTATAAATTCAAGCCCACTCGCATCGCTTTTTAAAATTTCATTCATAGCACAGTAACATCCACAACATTAAAAAAAAAAATTTAAGTAGCAAAATTAGTTATGCATATCATACTTATAAATATGTTTGCGGTAATACATTAATTATAAATAAAATCAAATTCAATTCCACAAAAGATGAAAATTTTTTTATTAGACTTCATACCTATGGCAACATAAAGTTAATGAACAGCAGTTTTTTTATTGTAGATGACAAAATTTTTCACCTCTTTTTTTGAAGTGTTTATATAATATAGCTGAATATAGATTTGAATGCAAAAGAATTGATTAAATGATCATCAAAGATCCTAAAGTGAATATAACAAGACATCGAAACATTAAAAATATTTCCTTCACAATAAAATAAAACTTTAATAATAAGATAATTCTATAATTGAAAAGAATCAACAGCCAGCTGTAATTTACACAAGCAAAACAGCTTTATATCACAGTATTTCTTTCTTCAGAATTATTCCTGAAATATGTTTTCAATATATTTTTATTTATTTACCATAAACCTTTTTATAACAACATGTAACAGTGTTTGTGATAGATATTGTCAAGTTTGCATGCAACAATATATACATTAATAAAAATAAAAAATACAGTGATACCCCGACGTACAAGTAGCCCGATATACAAGCCGATATATGAGCAAAATTCGAGATACGAGCTGTAAAAGCTTTGAGCGAGTAAAAGTTTTCTATAAAAAATGCTAATGTTAAAATTAAAATATGAAAAAATTCATCATATATAGCAATGATTTTCCTACAAAGATTTGACTGTTTTATAATAGTAAATTATTTTATTGTTATTTCAATTAATTAGTTAATATTGAGTAGTAACGATTTACCCACACGAATATATCGAGGATTATTTTAACGTTTGAAATTTTGATAAATTAATAGTGATTGTACAGTTATATATGTTGAGTTCGCGTTTTTTGTACATTTACGACATATTATTTAAATACATAACCATAGGGCTAATGTAAAGGACTATGTTTCTTGAATTAAAGTGTGAAATAATTGAAAAATATGAGGATTGCAAGAAAGTATGTGTGCAAAACATCATAGATATGTACTGTGTTTAAACAGAAGGAGTTGATGAAGGGTATAATCCCAGCTAAGGGCTTTACATAATTTATTTCCGAGCTCTAAAAGTTCGAAGACAAAAATTATACCCAAAACAGTTCGAGCATAGAAATTGTTCAATAAAACATATCTAATTCCAACAAATGCAATATCTTACATAAACAGAAAAAAACAATTAGCAAAAAAGTTAATTAACAGTCAATTTATTTTTATTATTAAAAAAAAACTAACAAGAAACCAGAGTGCTAAAACAAATTAATTGCATTTAAATGTATTGTAAAAATTGCTTCTATACAGGAGTGTGTCGCATATTTAACTCGATGCCGGAGTACCACTGTATTGGAAATGTGTACAAAGTGATGATGACATTTTTTTTTACCTGACAGTTTAACTATTTAAAAACAATGAAATGTTGAAATCAGTTATTAAAATGTTTTCGACTTATTATGATAATAGAACCAGTTGGCATAAAGACATTTAGAATTCTGTTTGCATATTTCAATTGTTGTTGATAGTAATAATAATTAGAGGGTTCTGTGCACAGGCAGATCTAATTAGCAGATCAGATTATAATTTATAGATTATTTTTAGAAAACGTTTGTAAAGATGTTATGTATCAAATTTTAACACAAAAAATAACTAAACAAATAAATAAAATGCTTGTGGTCCCAAGTATTAAGAATAATATAAGGACAAGGAGTTTATATTAAAAGCAATTCAAATAAAGAATTTCAGTGACTCGCACAGTTATGAATCCATAATTTATATAATATCGACATTTTTATATATTACACAGGCCAACAACAAAAAAATTTTTTTGATGCATCAAATGTTAGAGCTGATTCTTATAGTATTTTTTGTGCTGATTTCAAATCTGCCAACCATTTTTTTGTATCAGCTCTAGTTTTTGAGATACAAAAAAGTTGCCGAAACCAGGTCCATTCGAGGTCGTCACGGAAAAGAACTTTTCACAGTGTCAACTAATGTCCCAACTAAGACCGAATGGGTCTTGTAAGTTTGTATGTACGAGTAGGCATATCTCATTAAAATAACATTCGGAATTGTATTACTCTTTTGTACTTTCGTTCCTTATATTAGGTGCGCAGCTAAGTTCTTGCTGTTTGTCAGTACATGACTCTATTAGTAAGGGTTTGTCGATTTTGACAAATCCAAAACGTCTTGAAGCAAGCTTAGAGTAAGTAAACAAACTGCTGCGACACATAATTGATTTCGTTTTTGCGTTATATACTTCTGGTTAAGTGAATATGTCCAATTTTATGCCAAACAATCGTCATTTGCGGAGAGTGTTGATTTTCGTCTTCCATTCAAAAAAAACGGGAGCTCAAGTGCATCCAAAGCTACGGAAATGTTGCTCTGAGCAAAACAACACGCCATGAAGGGTTTTGTCGCTTCAAAAATGGTGATTTTGATGTTGACGACCACACTCATGAAGGAAGGCCAAAACCTTCAAAAACGCTAAATTGAAGGCCTTGTTCGAAGAGGATTCGTGCTAAACTCAAGAAGATCTTTCTTCAGAATTAGGAATTACCCACCAAGCCATTTCCAAGCTATTGCATGCGTTGGGGATGATTTAGAAGCAAGAAACTTCGGTTCCTTGTGAGTTGATGCCAAGAGAGGTCGAGCGTCGTTTTTTTGCCTGTAAACAACTGCTCCAGCGGCGAGAAAAGAAGAGGTTCTTTATCACATCGTGACAGGTGATAAAAAAGGAATACATTACAGCAATCCAAAGAGGAGAAAATCTCGGTTCGGCCGAATATTCATTGCGAAGGTTATGCTCAACATATGGTGGGGCCAGGTCAGTGTTATTTGTTATGAGCTGTTGATACCGAGTGAAACCATCACTGGAGAACTGTATCGAACTCAATTGATGCAATTTTTTTATAATAAAGTTACATTTTCATCGAAAAAACTGCGAGAACTTAGTTGCACACCTAATATCGTAAAATATATCATATATATCGTATCTTGAAAACTAAAGCTCATAGAAAAAAACTAATGTCATTTTTCAAATCAGCGCCCCAAATATACTTAGAAACAGTATTAAAATCGTTTGCACCATTTTCTTTGTTGACCTGTGTTATTCATTAATCCATTGAAATTTGAATGCAATAAATAATTACTGGCTCTCTATCATAACACATATGATAAAATTAATAATTAAAAAGGGTATGGGTTTGTCAATTATTATTTTCATGTACAAACTACATATAATACTATTATATGTATTACTAACTTGTTATATAATACAGTTCTTTTTTTTAACATTTAAACCACTAGCAGTTAGTATTAACTAATACCTGATGAAGATCTTCATTTGAGTGCTTTGATGAAATACCTCTTCTTCGGCGCTTCTTGTTAGATGTTGAACGTTGAGAGTTTTGTATTGATTGATCACCAACACCCAATCGTAGCCGCACAGGTACACGAGCAGCATTTTGCTTGGTATTTTCAACTAAAGATAAATGAAACGTTATAATTTTATTTCAATTAAATATAATTACTTATTTTTTAAAGTTAATTTAAAAGACATTTAATAGATTGCCAAACAATATATGGATTTAAGATAATTACTTAACATTTTATTAATAATCCAAACATTATTAATATTTATTAATAAGCAAATAAACAAAAATATTAAAATACATAGTATTAATGAACATTGTAGGACATATAAAAATTATATATCTTATATATAAAAGTCTTCTGTACAGGTGTATGATTTGATACTTCTCCTAAGCGGTTATTCAGATTTTGATAATCCTTGTTAGAGTTTGTCAAAGGAAATTTTAGGATTTAATGAACGATAAAACTATAGTAATATTGTAGAAATAAATGGCAAAAATTACAAAAATCCACTTATCATTATCTGACATTGATAACATATGAACGGTCATCTGCTAGAAATGTTAATTCACTTGAAATTTGATTTTAGCTGAAATTATGAGCCTAGATAATATTAAAATATAATATATAAGAAAAATGTAATTTCTATATTATTATTACTGAAAAGCAGCTGAGGTGTGCCAGAAATTTAATAAATATAAGATACAGTCAGCAGTATATGTTGGCAGATAAAATTATATAATTTAGTTTAATAAATAACTGCAATATATCCAAAATTGCATATACATTATTTTTTTTAAACTTATGCATCTCGCATTTTGGTTTACTTTACTAAATTATTTAACAATAAAAAAAATATTTTTACTTATTAAAAAAAATGATTTAGAATTTTGTTTCATGTGTCCAAAATTCATTTGTTTGGCATTGGATATGGAATATTTAGCAAGTTGATACTAGATTAAAGAGTGCTCATATGAACTAGATTTTACAAAATAATTCACCGAAGATTTGAACATAAACAATGATGTTTATTAAATTATTAGTAAGAAAAATGTACTTGAAAAATTATAATTGGTAAAAAGCAACTAATATATCGTACTAGATTATGAAAATTATAGACTAAATTATTGAAGCAATTATGTTGTGCAGATTATTTTATTTTTTTTCTGAATTTCTTATACTGTTTATGCTAAGACCATAAATGAATCACAAAGGCAGGTCATCAAATAGGATATTAAAAAGTACAGGATAGGATAATATATATATATATATATATATATATATATATAAATAATCAGTATTTTTTTATTTGAAAATATCCAAACAGTATCTCAGTCATGAATTAGTCTGCCGTTACAGCGTAAGAAATAATATTAGATGAAGTTTTAAATTTATTAAATATACCTTTCAGTTCTTTATCATCAGAATTGACCCAAAGAACATGGCGAATGTTTGGTCTGGTTTTACTTATAACATTTTCTGCATTGTTTTCATTTCGTGGCAGCTTGCCTAAAATATCAAACCACTAATTAAAAAAAATTCAACATAGAATAATAGTCTCACCAAAGTTTTAATAAATAAATATTACTATTAGTGTTAAGAATTTAAATAACAAATGAAGTTACTACATGAGACTTTACTATATTAAATGGTGTCCCAAAAAAATCATATGATGTGAACCATCATACAATCATCTCAAATAAGTAAAAATATATAAATGAAAAAAAATTATATATTATGATATTTAAATCGAAAATATCGAAACAATTCATTGCTTCATATACAGAAAATTATAAGTAAAATTATGGAAAATATTAAATTAAGCAATTTTAATCAAAATTCAAATTTCATGCTTTTAATATTGTGAGCAAAAAAGAAAAAACAAAAGTACAAATATGATACATGTGCCATTGTAAAATTATCTCACAATAAATAGCTTTATGGGAAACAAAAGAGTAAATTAAACATACACAAAAATTATTTATAGAAAAGAGCTTAACTTTATAAAAACTAAAAAAAAGAAATTTGTTTTCAAAGTAATTTGTTTCAAGAGTTTATATATATATATATATATATATATATATATATATATATATATATATATATATATAATAATCAGTATTTTTTTATTTGAAAATATCCAAACAGTATCTCAGTCATGAATTAGTCTGCCGTTACAGCGTAAGAAATGATATTAGATGAAGTTTTAAATTTATGAAATATACCTTTTATATATAGAAATTAAAAAAGTAATTTAATAAATTTCAAAATTGTTCTTACCCGTTCGCTTTGCTTCTGTTCTTGATGCAACAGCCCCCATGAGAGCCGATTGCACTAACCTACTGCTGCTGCTTTGTTGACTTTTCAAAGGAATTAATTGCTTTACACGTCTTTGCTGCAATGTATCCCTCAAATCTTCATCAGCTTTAAGATCATTACTCTTTTTAATAGCATCAGTAAATTTCTTATCTAATGTTACAGATTTTTGGTCTGATATATCTTTTTGTTCTTGTTTTGGCTTTAAAGAAATAACATTCTTTACAATTGTTTCAGTTCTTTTGGGTGCTTTGATTTTCGTAGGTGATACATCAATTTTTCTTGAGGGTGTATCAACTTTTTTAACCGGTGCCTCAATTTTTTTAATCGGTACCTCGACTTTTTTATTTGGTGCTTCAGCTTTCTTAATTGGTAGTTCAACTTTTTTAATTGGGGCCTCAACTTTTTTAATTGGTGCCTCAACTTTTTTAATTGGCACTTCAACTCTTTTTGCAGGCGCCTCAACCTTCTTAACATCACTTGTTGATTGTGAATCTTTTATTATTTTCCTGTCAACAGTGCCATTGGTTAAAAGTCCACTTTTAACATCTGCATTTGATTTATCATACTTATTTGTGGTAATAGAATGTTTAGAACTCTTGTGTCTATCATCTCGTGAAATACGGGAATGTGAATTAGATCTATTTCTCTTCTCCCAATTATCTCTGAACATTCTACTTCCTCTTGAACACTTTCTATTACCTTGTTGCATTCGAGTAGGCCTTTCTTTATTTATGATTTCGTCTAATGATACACAAATAGGTTTGACTGAGTTTTTCGCAGAAAATGATATTTTAGTATTGGATCCTGCTACTACTTCTTTGTTTGAATTTGTTTTGAATCTTCCTTCCCTTTCTTCGTCACTTGATTCTGACGACCAAACATCTTCCATTGAGGTATCAAGATTCAATTCAATGGCATCTTCAGTGATATCAGGTGAAGGATTTTTTTCAACATTTTCATCAATTCGACTATCAGTATTTTGATTTGCTGATATATCTGCTGTGTTAGCAGATTGTGCTTTATGATCAGTTCTTATATCATTTTCTTTCGGAGCTACTTTGACACTATCATTGCTTCTGGAATTTTTGTGATCACTGATATTTTTGGAATGATTAGTATCTGAAGTATTCCGACTTTGATTAAACTTTGAAGCTCTATTTCTAGAGTTAAAACCAGTATAATGCACTCTTCCAAAATTCATAGGATGTTTTGTGACAGGCTCTGGGCTAGGACTTAAACTAATACTACAACTACGCTGTCTTCGTCGATTGTGGAAAGCCGGTTCCTTCCGTAAAGGAGCTCTTTTAATGTCATTCCTAAAATTCCACTTTCTAGGTACTCTGTTATTTACACCTTTGCTTGGTATTCTTTGTCTACAAAGTCCAAGTCGTGATTTTGATCTTGAATTAGACCTGCTTCTTCTTATAGGTTTCAGATTATGTATTTGTCCAGAATGACTAGGTTGAGGTGAAGCATCTTTAAAAGTCCGAGAATATGGAGATATAGAACGTCTACTTCGACTAGAAGAATCACTGGAATAATCACGTACAGACGAACTTGAACTTCTTCTGTCTCTACGTTTTATTAATATTCCTGTGTTGTTATAAACAAATGCTAAAGCTCTTGGAGATAACTGAACATTAGTCAGATCAGGAAATATACTTCTATGTTCCGGGCTCCTTGAAAAACGAGACCGCCTATAGGGAATTGACTCCCTAGACCAACTTCTACTTCGAGATCTCTTTATACCATGACGAGTAGGAAGAACATCCGTTCCCTCATGTCGCTCATCATGTGAATTCGGTACATTTAGAGGAACAACTTCACCTAAAATTGGAATTCTACTACCAATAGTTTCAATTTTTGCAGCAGCATTATTGTCATTAATAACATCATTAATCTCTGGCTGTTCTTTTGCACTTTCATGTAGCACATTAGTAGACTTGCTATCTAATACAGGTTTGACAATTTCATCCTTATTCAATACTTCCGCAGTTGGAATAGAATCAACTTTATTTGTAACTTTAGGCTTAGTCTTTTTTATTTTTTTTCTTTTGGAATAAACCCTTTCTTCTTTTGGAGTATCTAGCAACTCATAATCCATGTCTTGGATTAACTTATCTAAGCTGTCCACAGATGAATCTGATTCTTCCGAATCATCATTTGAAACATGTTCCTGTTCCACAGCAGGTTTGATAGTTGGCTGTGTGATAAATGTAAATAATTCGTGTAAGCATATTATAAATAAATATATACAAGTATATTTTAATACCTTATTTTTCCGTGACTGTAAAGCCATTAATCTCAATGTCTCCAAATCTTCATCATCATCTTCACCACAAATCATCTTGTTATCCTAAATAAATATACAGATATTATATATATATATATATATATATATATATATATATATATATATATATATATATATATTTTAATATATAGTTTATATATCATTGTGTGTATTTATTACATATATTAAATGTAAATTTACCTGTGGTTTTTAAATAGTAGAAATATTTATATCTCTAAAATCTATCGAATAAGCTACATATCTGAAGCTAGATAACATTATTATTAATTTATACATTTGATGTTTGTAAACATTGAAAGTCGAAAATATAGATCGTATTAAAGAATTAATAATAAGACTTCGCAAGATATAAAAATTAATAAAGTATCGAACATATTAAACCTTTTAGTTTACATATTATAATGAAAAGGATAAGCCATTGCACTAAAATAAGCATGTAACTTAGAGAAAGTATTTAAATTTTTAGGATCCTACAAAATATCTTACCTTATTTTGAGACATTTTGTACTGCTATTATACAGGAACACAATTTTAGTACGTACGTTATGGACACATAGTTAAATACAAATGCTTTTCATTAATGTTAACACTAATGTTTATGTTTCACTAAAAGATTATTATCACTTTATAGAAAACGTCATACGCCATTAAATTTTGATCCCATATTGTTTTTGCCTTTGTAATATTGCAACACTTGTACAAGGCGCAGTGTTGCCAAGCGTATAAGTTCTTTCGTACTGGCGCGAAATATGAAAGTAAGAAAACTTTTCTGTTTTTAGATTTAATTGCTAAATTATTTGCTGTCAATTTATTAGAACGAGAAACCAAAATTACTACATTGAAAATCATAAATAAGAATTTGTGCTTCTTCAACTCTTCATATAACATGTCTGGTAACATAACCAAATATAACACATCCTCTTAACATATAAATTTTTGTATCAAAACCAACTGATGTCGTGCAAAAATATTAGCCAAATAACCAAAATTAATAGACAGAAAACCAAAATTTATATATTGAAAATCATAAATATGAAATAAATAAGATTTTGTGCTTCTTCAACTATTCATATAACATGTCTTATAACATAACCAAACATAACACATCATCTTAACATATAAATTTGAGGAACATTTGAGGAAAAAGGACTATTTTCTACTTTAGTTTTTACTTATACTTTAAATGGAATATTATGAATATTATGAAATTACACTCAGAAATAAAAATATTGCATGGACTATAAACTGTAAAATTAAAAATTAAACTTTTGAACAAGATAAATACATCATGATGTATTAGGTTTATACAAAAAATCAACTATATTAAATACGAATTTACTATCCAGTATCTACGATAATAAAAAATGCCCAGATTTAAATATATATCTGATATATCTATCCAGTATAAATATTAAAATATTTAAGTATTATTATTATTAACTTCCCGTAGGGTAGTTATAGTAATGGGCCGAAAATCGAAAATGAAAATTTTTGCATGTTTTCACATTTCAAGATTTGAATGGTTCAAACGGAGTTCATAGGAAGATGTGCTGATTAGTTTTTAGAAAAGGCAGGTCCAGTCGTTACGGAGATACGGAGAAAAGAATGCAGAAAATAGAAATCGAGATTTTGAGAGTACGGAGTATTCGATTGGAATGATCCAACAAATATTCAATTTGCAATGATTCGGAGAAGTGGTGTTTAGTTTTTGGCAAAGGCCGGTCCAGGCGTTTTGGAGATACCGAGCTAATTGTACAAAAAATAGCAGTTATTGAGCTGAAGTTCTAAAGCTCACTTATATACTTTAAATAAATTATTTTAACTTTGTAATTCAGTTTATATAATTCTTATAAATATTAGACAATATTATTGTAATTATAATAATCTATATCAAAACATATTCCTCGAAAATTTCGTTACGGGCACGATGCCATACACCACTAGTAGTTTATTCAATTGTTTTTGTGTTTTTTTGACAAATTATTACTGTCATCGTTAAAAACTATTATCAATCTTATATTGTCACAAATGAATGCATATAAATCTGCGTCACAACATTATTAATAAAAAATATATCGCCCTAATAAGTGTATCATTTTGATAAAAAAACGTTGATTAAATTTTACCCAGATTAATACATTCATTATTTGTTACCAAATAAATGATAAAATGTTACACCAATAATATACATGTGCAATTTTTAGGATCTAACAATAACAATGGATGTAATAATATACGATGAATATAAAATGACGGATTTAGTTAAGAAAATATTTATAATGCGTTATGTTTTAGCAATACTAAAACAAAGGTTTTTAAATTAATCTTTAATGCCAAACGTGCCAAACGTTTCGACATACAATTGATATCATCATCAGTGGATATTAAATCTGGTATCTTTCATCTAAAGATGTGTACACAGCACAAAAGTTTGCACTTACATTAATACAATTAACATTTTAATAATCATGAATTCTGTTCTTTTATGCAAATAGAAGAAATAATGAGAATTTTGTTTCACAAAAATGTAGAGAAAGCTAAAGTATTTTTGCAAAGAACCATGTAATAGCTACGGAGTCCGAAGCTTATATCATTTATATATGGTATATAATATATATATATATATATATATATATATATAAATAACATAATATTCACTACCGTTTCAAATGATATATTATCTACATTATCGCAATTATTGCAGAAGCGAAGCAAATAAATATTGAAATGCAGATCCTTGCTTATCAGTAATATTCTTTTGACTGTTTCAATTTTTCAAAACGTATTTTAGTCTACTGAAACTTTTTTTAATATAAAATTCTTGGTATTAATTTTATTCTAGTGATAAAATTATATCCGGTAATATAACAGATAATCTTGTTACGGTACTCGAGATAGAAATAATGAATAAAGATACAAAAATAGCATAACAACTTGTAACTTGTGCAAAATGCGTGAAAATATTATCATATTATGACAAATAAAGCATTGATTAGGCAGTCCAAGATAACAAATAGTGATATTGATACTGATAGATTCATGTTCACAATTATAATATATATACATATAGGGTGGCAGGGCACAAAGGTCCCACTATATCAAATAAATAACACATATGAAAAAACTACTTTCAAACTACATTCAGTAAAATCCTCAGCTAATTCATCATTGTACATCTATGTTTTTTTGCTATTTTCTAAAAATACACGGGGTAAAAAGAGACAGGGTTAAAAAAATCAACATTTTATTTTTAATTTTAAAGATGTTTTATGTAATCTAATTAATCTTACATTAGCATAATTAATTAGATATAACAAGAGCGGGACTTAAAAATCATTAGCTTGAACAACAAAATTAACAATCTAAATCTGAATAAGTATTTTTGAATATAATAAACAAAAAATTTTATCAACTCTTAAAATCATAAATATTGCTTTAGTAGTTATTTGTTTAATTTTTCATAAGCAGACTTTTCTTGTAATACCAGCATAACAAATGAGAAAAACACAACTTCTGCTTGAAGTACATATTTTATTAACGCATTTTTATAAAGATCACACTGTGTACAACTTTCGTATGCAATTTTTCCAGAAAAATTCATCATCAGTGAATGAATAACTGTTATTTTAATGAATTAATATTACATTTTTATTTACTATTTTCTTATTGTTTACTCCTCGCCAGCGTAAACGTTTAAGTGGTCCTTTTTACCCCAACCACATGTAAACTATTCTAGAGGTTGTATAAAAAACTGTTGAATCTAACTTAAAAATAAAAACACATGTTATAAAAAAATTAAATGAAGTATACTCAAAAATTATATTCAGGTATCGTAAATTAAACAACCGTACTCAGTACCAAAAAAACTAACAACTAAAGTTATGGTTTTTCAAATATTGCCGTTTATCTTCAAGAAGTGACGTCGTAAGAATCAAGATGATGGCTGGTTATACATCTTTTGTCCTCTACTTTTAAATATTGTTTTTAACAAAATTTATAACGTTACATCTTGTTTTTAGAAGGCGTCCATTAATCACGTGATCATTTTTTTGAGGATTTTTGGACCCTTTCTTCCCCTTCGTGATACGTGGTGATATTTAAAGTTACACCTCCTCCGCTACCAAACATCACGTGTATTTTTTGTTACGAGCGAAAATTGTTGATTTTTCTAAATTGTTAGGATTTTTTTTAAAAAAATCATGTAAAAAAAATACAAGTGATATATTACTATACCCCTCCCCCACGTAATATTTCGTAATTTTTTGCCAAACCTCCCCTCCTTCTAAAAACCTCACGTGATTAATAGACGCCCCCTGAAGATATCGATGGTGGACCTTTTTACCCGCAGACCTTTGACTCCCGCAGCTTGAGTCGCTCCGCCATATACTTACATATAAGTAATAGCATAGTAAACTAGTGGGGTGGGTGGCATCGTGCCTTATGGCAAATTGCTGGAACTTCCCGTACCGTAACGAAATGTTCGAGGAATACTGAATGTTTTCAAATAGATTATTATAAATATTGTAACATTGTCTAATATTTATAAGAATTATATAAACTGAATTGCAAAGTTGAAATTATTTGTAAAGTATATTAGAACTATAGTCAGAATTAAAAATAAAATCTGAATTATTTTCGATATACAAAAAATTAAAAAAAAAAGTAGTAACAATTTTTTTTCCAAAATTAATTATTTTGTTAAGACAAGCCGAAAGTTCTTTGAATCATTTAAATCGGACGCTTAGTTCTCTCAAAAATTGCCATTTTTTACATATTTAGCTCCGTATCTTCTTTTGCCAAAAACTTATAAACACTTCTCCCAATCATTACTAATTGAATGTTTTTTAGACCATTCAAATCAGATACTCCGTTCTCTCAAAAAGTCGATTTCTATTTTCTGCACTCTTTGCTCTGTATCTCCAAAACAGCTGGACCTGCCTTTGCCAGAAACTAATCAGCTCTTTTCCCTATCAATAGGAATCGAATGTTTTTTGAACCATTCAAATCGGTTGATCCGTGCGCTCGAAAACGTGACTGGAAGTTTGTATCCATACATACATACACACACACACACACACATCCATTTTTTCTGAGGTATGCCAAAATGTTCAGAAACCTTCAAAACATCGAGAAATGTAAAAATTTTCAATTCCGATTTTCGGCCCATTACAATAACTTACCCTACGGGAAGTTAAAAATGGTTAAGATGAAATAAATTGCAAAAATTAAAAATATGTGTATAGTTGTATAAGTAAAAATATAGTGTATAAGTAACCAATTTTCCAATAGATAATATCAAATTATGGTCAACTATCATCGATTATGTCGGTGACAAACTCTTCGACAATTTATGAAATACTAAATTCGGAGACAAATCAAAAACGCAATGTGCTGTCGGACGTCTGTAAGTAATGTTTGCCGTCGTAATTTCTAGAATAATGCTATGTACCCAGTACTGATTGTGAGTGAAATGATTGTGATGATACATGATGAGTCCATGTATCATCAGGGGGCTGTGGACATGGAAGTCCGTGGGCCGTTCCAATTTGTTTTTAATCTGAATCTACGTTGGAGAGGGTTTGAATGCGCATACTTTATTCGGTGCGGCGACGCCGAAGAGCGGCCGCGTAGCGTATATAAGCAGAGGGTTACGCCGTAGCGATCTACAATCGTTCGCGCGCTACGAGACCATTTGGTGTCCGGAAAGTAACAAGTAACTACCGCTAAATATTGGTGACACCGTTTAAGTCCACGCGGAACGCAAACGACCGTTCGTCTATTCAGAAGTGATACCGGAAGAAAGACGTACCAGAACTCTTGTGGAAAGCCAAAGGTTAGTGAGGAAAGCACGATTATTAGAGCGCCAAATTTCATATTTCATTTTTTTCATTGCTTCAAACGTTATCAAATTATAAAAGAAAATACGGAGTTGTAGTGTAAATCTGTTGCGGTATATATTTATATACATTAGGGTGGTCCTTAAAATGGTCATTTTCGAATTTCCTTGCTCCCAGGGGCTCAAATGGTTCCAAATTGATGAAAAACAATTCTCTGAAAGTTTTAGCTCTTAATATTAACTTTTAGATAGAGCGCAATTTAATCAAAGTTTGTATGGAAAGAGCATGGAAAAATTTTTGAAAATTTAAAAAAATGTTTTAGGTATAATTTAGCGACAAATGAATAAGTTTTATTCATTCATTTGTTCGCCAAAATTACATCTAAAAACATTTTTAAAATTTTTTTAAAATTTTTCCATGTCATTTCCATACAAAACTTTGATTGAATTGCACTCTATCTAAACGTTAATATTAAAAGCTAAAAGTTTCAGAGCATTGTTTTTTATCTATTTGGAACCATTTGAGCCCCAGGGAGCAAGGAAATTCGAAAATGACCATTTTAAGGACCACCCTAATATACATATATAGCGGAACGTATATTCAATATTAAATATGAACACACTACACTCAGTTTTTTGCACACACTTCATTTCATAAATTACTGACGTTTCAAGTCCATGATACACCCTGAAGATGAGGCATACCCTGGTCACGAAACGTCTGTAATTTATGGAATAAAGTGTGTGCAAAAAACTGAGTGGTGTGTTCATATTTAATATATATATTAGGGTGGTCCTTAAAATGGCCATTTTCGAATTTCCTTGCTCCCGGGGGCTCAAATGGTTCCAAATTGATAAAAAATAATTCTCTGAAAGGTTTAGTTCTTAATATTAACGTTTAGACAGGGCGCAACTCAATCAAAGTTTGTATGGAAAGAGCATGGAAAAATTTTTGAAAATTTATAAAAAATGTTTTAGGTATAACTTAGCGCCAAATGAATGAGTTTTATTCATTCATTTGTTCGCTAAATTACATCTAAAACTATACTTTTTATCTATTTGGAATCATTTGAGCCTATGGGAGCAAGGAAATTCGAAAATGACCATTTTAAGGACCACCCTAATATATATATATATATATATATATATATATATATATATATACCCCGACATACGAGATTAATTCGTCCCGTAACTACGCTCGTATGTCGAATCGATCGTATCTCAAAGCATTTAAAGTATAAATATATCGAAATGCTATTAATTCGTTCCGGAGTTTGTTAAATTCTTTCAATATTTAATATATTATTTAGTTAATATTGTGTCCTGTCCATCTTTTATATTGCGGAAATGAGTTGAGACACGTTTCGTTGAACAACTCTAATGCTCCAACTGTTGCAACCTTTTCGGGGTGATTTTTGTCCAGAATTTTTTAGAGCTAAGAAAGCTGCTTATAAATTATTGTAAGGCATTTAGCTGAAGTTATACCCTTTTCAACACCTGTTTAAACACAGTACATTACTATGATGTGTTACGCTCGCCACCATCATATTTTTCAATAATTAGCCCTATGGAAATAATATATTGTTAATGTTCAAAAAGCAAAAAACGCGAACCTAGCAATGTTTTGTTAGGCTAACATATAAAACTATTAATGCATAGTCAAAATTTCAAACGTTAAAATAATCCTCGATATATTCGCGTGGTTAAATCGTTACTACACAATTAATATTGATATATAATTAAAATGACTAACTATAAAATAATATAATATTTTATTAACTATATTATTCTAAAACAATCATTTTTATAATTAACGAAATTTTACATATTTTGTTTTGCCAGTAACATTTATCTAGAAATCTCCTGCTCGCTTAAAGCTCGTATCTCGAATTTTGCTTGTATATCGAAGCAACGTGACAAAGACCTTGTAATTTTTTTTAACTACAATTGTTACTACATATACTAAAAAATAAAAGAAAATACAGAATTGTCACGTAAATCTGTTGCGATACCAAATTTGAAAAATATTGTATCTCAATAAACTACAGCTTTAGAGGCCAAAATTTTTATTTTTATTTATTAATGCTTCAAGCATTACTACATATACAAATTATCACGTTGTCATGTAAATCATTTGAATCTCTTGCGAAACCAAATTTGGAAAATATTTTTCCCATAAAGCTACTTAATGCTTATGCATGAATAGATTTATACATACGCATATACATGTCATATATAATTAAAAATCTGTTGCGAACCAAAGGTTCATCAAAAAGATTTTCCTTTCTTTATATATAATCGCATTATTCGAGCAATTTGCATTAAACACATTTAGCGATTAGGCTATATAAAGCCGCGGTAATAACATTAAAAAAAAACTCTTGTTAAAAATAAACGGTAATTCTTAATTCATTAGGAAATTCGTTTAACGGAGAAAATTATAATTTATAACAAATTTACATTTCTTAAATATTGCTTGCAAAGTTTTTTATTGAATATGTATTTTTGTATTAAGTGTTCAAAATTAAATGTTATGTTAAAATGTTAAGTGTTAAGTCGTAATATTGTTTGTTTTATGCCAAAATTGAAATTTCTTAAAACTGATGAAAATAAAACAGTCATTTTTGACAGAAATAAAAATTTATTCAATATATACAGTGTAAAAAACAAAAATAAAAATATTCAACATTTTTAAAATAAAATATGTGTTCAGTACTTTGCAAATAGAGAAATTTTATATGAAAATGCGCGATGTGAATGATAAATTGAATTTTTTCATATTAATGTATTATGGAATTAACGTTGTTGACAAAAAGGGTAAAATTTCACAATACCTTGTTGGCATTTGTAACACGTCGCCCAGATGTATAATCCGGAAAGATATGAATAAATCTGTAACCATATTTTTTTATAAAACATAAAAAGCTACCTTTAGAGAAAAGCTCGAATGATATGTAGTATTCATGAAACTTTTATTTGTGATAGAATTTCACGGATCATTAATAAAAAATCGCTGATCTTTTATAATATTTTATAAAATCACATGAATCATAACGATGTTGATTGAAATAAGCATCTCGCAAAAGCAGGTACTTCAGAACAAGTGCTAATTCATATTAAAAGGAGTGTGTTAAAGTGTAAGTTAAATAACTTAACTTATTATTTTTGTTTATTGAGTGTGATTTTTGTGTTTTCTAAATTGGTGCGTCCTATCTATTGAGTCAAACTGGAATTTGTAAGAATTAAAATAAAATGTTATTTATTTATCTATGACTTATTTCATATTTTATCAGATGTTTTTCTAAAGTTGATGTTCTGTTCTTAAGTTCATACAAATTTATTTATTTTCATATACAAGCCCAGCATAAAACAATAATTTTTACTTTTTCCATCGCATAAAACCAGTGATACGGTAATATTTTCCGGTGCAAATAGATAAATATTTTTTCCTTTATGATGAAAGGCGACGTAATTCGTGCATAAGTCATGAGCGGCTATAAAAGCCATTCGGGTGAACTAACAGAAAGTCGACGTCGCTTCGAAGACACTTGACATTAGAAAAATATCATCGACAGCAAACTCTTTTTGCGACTCTCGGTAAAACTAACAAATCGCCGGAAAAGCAAACATTCTGGGAAATCCTTGCTTATGTTACACATCACACTATTCCACGTCTTTGTTATTCCTATTTTCCTCAAAAATAGGAAATTAAAAAATTATTATCAGAATTTGATCTAAGGAGTCAATTTGGTAAAGATTTCAATCTGTAGTCCCAGGTCCAATACCACCTTGGACAACCTGATATCTGCGGTAGTGACATCGGTTTTCACTTGGAAATATAGGTAGCAATATGTCTTCATCAAAAATAACCCTTCAGGGCATTGCAGCAACATTCCAACTAGAAACAAGACCGCGAAAATGTCTTCTAATTGCGTTCAGTATTAAAAATAAATTATATCTTCCATAGTAAGAACAATCAATGGATTGTCTACTAATAACGTAGTTCTTAGTACTAAGCAGTGCTCAATACATCTGATCTGAATATGAAATAGTTCTTACCAAAAATTTGGCACTAAGCGATTTTTACAAGCATTATTGATGTATCTTCTATTTATCATACTGCAAAGTTGGCTGGTAGTGTAAAAACTTAAAACATTACAAGTACCTAATACAAATTTATTTCTTATTTTGGACTAGGTTACTGCGAATAGGTAACAGGATATATTTTTACCTTTAATTTTTATTGTGTGGTGTAGAAAATTTTTGAAAGTCCTTGAGCATTGTGAAAACTTTCATGGATACTATAATTTATCATGACAAATATTGCATGCTGTGGGTTAAAAATAATGTACTGAAATGTAAAATAATTTAGATTTGTTATTTCTGACTAATTCAATATATATAATCTAGTTCAAAAACAACTTCAGATATGTCAAGGTACATGAACGTTCTTATTTTTTTACCGGTTTTCTATTGATATATTTTACAAGTATCAAGGCTTTTACCATAAACTTGTATAGAGTGCAAAATTTATGAAAATTTTTGAGTTAAAGCAAATATTGTTAAAATTTTCATGAAGATTTCCTATAATTTGTCATGGCATAAAATATTGCATGCTGTTCAATAATGATTTTTCTGTGACAGAATTCGTTTCAAAATGTAAAATAATGTAAATTTGTTTTTTCTGAACAAAATTAGTTGATGCGTGAAGTCAATTTGGGAAAATGGATTTTATATGCGAAAATGGATATTTTCTAGTACTTTTTAATTATGTTAAAAAAAAACTGCATCTCAATGTATTTTCTATTTAAATCTATTTCTTCACTGAACTTTATCATCTATTTTACAAGAAAACAATAATTTTTAACAAGATTTTTTACGATAAAAAGTATTACATTTGATAGACGATAAGTTTTTTGTCAAATACATATTTACAATTTATAGGTTTCTCTTCTCGTTAAAAATGTATAACTTTTATAAATTATACGAAATTT